AGACTGGGATTTCAAAATTGTAGAATGGATAAACAAGATTATACTGTATAGCACAGGGAAATATACACAAAATGTTACAATAACTCAGAGAAAAAAATGTGACAATGAGTGTGTATATGTCCATGAATGACTGAAAAATTGTGCTGAACACTGGAATTTGACACAACATTGTAAAGTGATTATAAATCAATAAAAAATGTTAAAAAAAAAGATGACATGTGTACTCAGTCACTGCTGCATTGTTTTTAATAGCAAAAAGCTGAAAATCTCTTAATAGGGGATTATTTAAATAAATTGTGGTACATCCATTTGTGGTAGATTGCGCCAGCAGCTGCGTTCTTCAGCTCCTCCTCTGTACAAATCCCTTGCCATGCTACTTGGCAGTGCTCTCTCACTGTGCACCAGGGAGTTGTAATTCCCTGGTCCTCAGCTTTAGCATGCGATTTGCTTTAACTTACAGCATGGTGACAAATGGGAGGCAAGCAGTATCTTAAAAGGGACTTACGTGGATTAAGTTTACACGTTCTTGTACTTCCACTGCCTCAGCTGTTTCACTGGGCTTGTGGGGAAGGTAATAGCCATTTGGAGCAGAATTGTCTTCAAGTAAGGTGTTTCAGTCAAGCCCAACCTACAATAGAGTCCACCAGTCAATTTGCAGAAGGATGAGCAGCCCAGATTAGCAGAGTTTGCCAATCAAGTCCAACCCAAATCAACCAACCCTCAGCCAATCTGCAGATTCACGAGCTATACTTATAAATAATTGTTATTTTAAACCACTGAGTTCTGAGGTGGTTTATTGCACAGCAACAGATAGCTAATACCCTGTCCAGTGGATAACACCTACCCATGAAGAGTTCTTCATTATACTAATAATGAATAATCTGAGTCTCATAGTTTAGTTAAACATGGTGCAGAACAATGTGAAGTGTTCAATTCCTTGTGAAAAGAATTTGCATAGATGTACAGAGGATCTAACTGGAAGGATACACACAAAAACCTGATAAAAGTTGGCTGCCTATGGAGAGGTGAACTGGACAGCTAAGGGACAGAAGTGGACGATTTTCACTTGTATACCTTTCTGCCACTTTTGAATTTTCAACTGTATAAAAGCATTATATCTTTTAAAAATAAACTAAATTATTTCTTAAAACTCAGGCTATTCATAGAGCTCCAAATCCTTCTAGCATCTAATAGAGCAGAAAAAATTTCTGAAATCATTTTAATTTTTCTTCCCTCACAAGTGCCAATTTAGCTTTAGTAATTGTAGGATTCTTTACTTTCTCTTTAAATTTAGAGCTTCAACAATATTTGTCTAGCTTAGAACTCAAATTTATTATTATTTCTTTGTTGCTAGAATATATATTTAATGAACTTCTAAAACTCAATTGTAAGAAAATAAATGGCTCAATTAAATAAATGGATGCATGAATTTATCAGACACTTCATGAAAGAAGATACACAGGTAGCAGAGAAGCCCATTAAAAGGTGCTCAACATCATTGATCAATTAAAAGCAAAATGAGATACCACTACACACCTCTCAAAATACCTAAAATTTAAAAATCCAATCATATCAAGTGTTGGAGCAATTGGAACTCTTCTTCACAGCTGAGGGTAATGTAAAATGGTATGATCACTTTGGAAACTGGTTTGGCAATTCCTGAAAATGTTAAAAATGAATCTGTCATATGACCAAACCATTCCACCTCTTGGGATTTGCCCAAAAGAAATAAAAGCATATGCCCAAAGACTTGAATGCGAATGTTTATTGCAAAACTTTTTATGAGATAGCCCCAAACTGGAAAAAGTCCAAATGTCCATCGTCAGGTAAAAGAATAAACAAATTGTCCTATATCCATGCCATAGAATACT